TGCCCACACACCAGGCAGGGCTGTGGGCTAGACAGTGGGTGGGCAGGCAGGGAAGCCAGCGAGCCCCCGAGGGTGAGCTGGGGTGAGAGAGTGTTCGTGATGGCAGAAGGCAGAGGTTTTCCGAGCCTGGAAGCAAGATGGATGGGTGTTCTCTGATGGGGACTGTGTGGTCGTGCGATTGAAGGGTGGGAGGCAGGAAGAGACTAGAGCACAGGTCCTCTCGTCAGTGTTGCCCCCGCAGGGGCCTGAAGTCGGTACTGTCTGGAAGTAGCCAGGGTGGGGTGCTGAGCTGAGGGCCCAGCACTGCCCTGGATGGGAGGAGGGGGTGTTTCTTGCTTGGTGCTCATTCTGACAGCCTCAAGGTCTTTTGTGGGGTGGGGGCGAGGGGGTCCTCCCTCTTTCCCCAAGACGGCTGCCAGCCCCAGAGCCCTGGCTTTGCCCTAAGAAGGGGAAGTGTTTCCAGCCTGTTCCTGTGCATCTGTCCATCAGCCAGCTGGGGAGAGAGCACTCCGGCCCTCTGATGCTTGTCTCTCTGTTTGTTCCAGCACAAACAGGGCAAGGTGGGCCCCGACGGGAAGGAGCTCATCCCTCAGGAGTCCCCCCGAGTGGGCGGATTTGGATTTGTTTCCACCCCTTCTCCTGCCCCGGGTGAGAAACGCGCTCCTGGCAAGCGGGCCCACTGCTGGGACTGCCTGGGGGGAGGTGGGCTATCAGCCAGCCACTCGTGGTTGTCGACCTGGTCTTTCCTGTGCCTTGTGTGACTCAGGGACCTAGTGTCCTTCTGTGCAAGGACAGAGCTGGACTCTGGGGCCCTGAGAGGCAGATGCCCAGGCTGGACTCTCTCAGGCAGACCCAACCCGAGATGTCCTGGCTCACGTGTTCTCTTCTGGTGCTCACCGCTGTGTCAGCAGGTGGGGTGCTGTGTGCACAGTGCTTACAGACCTAAGTCCAGAGAGCTCTGTGGTGTGGGGGGCTCTGGGCCTGAGTCTCCTCCAACAGGCTAGC